ACTAATTAAATCTAAAATTTTACCCTGCGAGACTTAGAAGTCTTAAAGTCCTCAATTATTGATGCATTAGTGATACTATTAGCAAACTCTCTTTCAATGTGGAAGGTCATGCAATTAGCAAGAAACTCATCAGCTATGGTGCTTCGAAGCCAATTCTTAATAATTCTCATACATGAAAAAGCTCGTTCCGTTGTTGATGTAGAAACGGGAAGAGTCAACACCAACCGAATCAATTTGTTGATCAAAAAATAGTTCTCTACCAAACTTGTTTCCACTAATTGTTGACATAAATGAGGAAGAGTGTTGGTTTCCTTAAAGCAAGGAAGGCGATGTACATCATTTTGAAAATACCTCAACTCTATTTCCAAATCTTTCAACTTATTTGGTAGGAAATCAGCAGGATAGGATTTCTCAGGAAGTTTACATATATGCTCAATATTGAATGACTTGAATGAATTACGAGGATCCAATGCTGAGCTAAGAATAAGAAGTTCAACAGTTTGCTCTGGAAATCGGTCATTTAACTCCTTTAACATGCAATCTATAACATCATTGAATACATCAAAGCGATAGTAATGCTCAAATGTAATAAAATCTTTTCGTTGACAAGAACGATGTGTGCTCGTCATATAACGAGCACCCATATTAGGAACATCAACACCATGTAGTTCACAAAATGATACCACACTACAAAATACATCATCTCAGCCATGTACCCTCATATCTTGAAGCTGCATTTTTGTGTTTTCAACAAATTTAAAGCACTTACAATGTCTTGAGTTTTGGTCTTAAATACTTGACAAAGAAAATAGGTCAATCCCATAATTTTATCAGTCAAAACCAATGAAAACACAAACTCAAAAGACATCATAGCAATATATTTACTCTCAGCATTGCCACGAAATTGTTGGTTAGGTCCATGATCACTGATTTCTTGAAGAAGTAATTTAGTCTCTTTAAATAAACACATCAAACTTGTAATAGAGGCATAATGAGAGCCCCAACGAGTGGCTCCAGCTCGTTTCAAACTACAAGCTTGATTAAGTCCTCTACTTGTCTCAAGTTCTCCAGAATCCAACAATCCATTGAGTTCAACTTTTCAAATTAAGTTTAACTCACTACAGCGCTTAATAGAAGCACTAACAAAATTCACAATGTTAGTCAACATTAATACTTTCACATCTTTAGCTGCACCATTTAATGCCAATGCAAGCGATGAGCAAAGCAATGCACATAATATGCATATGGACAATCTTGAAGAAACAATACTTGTAAGCTATTCCATGAACCACACATATTACTAGCACCATCATACCCTTGACCACGCATGTTTTCCACTAGAATGTCGTTATTACCAAGCACTTTGTATATCTCTTTTTTAAGAGTCAAGGCATTAGTGTCTACAACACTCACAATATCGAAGAAGCAATCACGAATAAATCCATCACAATCAACAAATCTTAGAATAATAGCCATTTGTTCCTTATCGGATTCATCAAGTGATTCACCAACTAGAATACAAAATTTGTTCTTCCCAAGTTCCTTACAAATTGTCTTCCTCACCTTGTTAGCAAAAATATGTAAGATTTGCTTTTGTATGTCATGCGCAATGTATTGAGCAGTTTGAGGAGCCTTATCAAGGACAACTTTCTCAACTTCTATATTCATTCTTGCAAAAGACTTTATGATTTCAATGAAATTGCCCCAATTAGATGAGTCAACGGATTCATCGTTGCCTCGAAAAGTCAATGCTTGATTTGCTAGATACCTAATGCCCTCTATTGTGGTCGTAAGTCGCAACTGATTTTCCATCACTTCTTGCTTTGATTGCTTCTCTACCACTTTTTCAATATGAAGAGATGGAGTTTTTAAGTTAATCCACTTTTGCATAGCAAGATGATGTGGTGAATTTAACTTGCCTACATGATGTTGAAATGCACATTGATTCCCATCAATTCTCTTTCATTTTTTATACCCATCAACAATAAAGGTTGGGTGTGACTGATTCATGTCAAAAATGAAACAATAAAAATAAAATACCTTACTCTTAGCAACTAAATACTCAAGCCAAGTGAATTGGCCAAACCACTTTTTATTAAATCGACGAAAGTCCCGACCTTCTAAGTGGCTTGGATAATCTTCTAACTCGGGTTGACATGGTCCTAAATGAATTAATATATGCTCTTCGCACATTATCTTGTTCCTTCACCGGATATTTGCATATTAGACAACGTAATCCTGGATCACGCTCAAGATAATTGATATTAAAATCATGATAATCATCGACTCTTTGAGATTCAATTCTTTCAACTTGAGGCTTGATAATAGGAGACTCGGGAAGATTTTGCTCATCACATATTGGAATAGATAAAGAAGAGCTAGAATGCAATGTACTAGATGACGACCCGTCATTCTTTTTCTTAAAAAAAGAGAACAAGTTTTTTGTTCTCTTGGGATTCTGATTGTGATCCGACATAATCAAAGATAACCTATGAATAACATGTAAAATAAATAATTTAAATCAAACATACCAACAAAAAATAAAACAAATTCTAATAATAATAGCATCTCAACAATATCAACAAACAACAAATCAAACATTGAAACACCTCAACAAAATTCCTAAAATCAAAGCCCTAATTAATTTTTTTAAAAATCACAAAATTATAATTCAATCTCTAAGTAAACCCTAGAATATTGAATTTTAAATTAAAACTATAATTAAATATATATAGAAAATGAGAGAATTAGAAAATAGTTGTTGTTGTAGAAAGGAGACGACAAGATTTTGCCAAGTTGCCCACTGCCCAGCCAATATAATAGGAAGATGCAGCAAATAGAGAGGGAAAAAGGATGCTGATATCGTCGGGTCTGTAGAATAGAAGAGAGAAAAGTTGGTGTGCCAAAAGAGAAGAGACAAAAGATATGGGACCACTTCCTCTTTGAAGTTGGATGGGCAACATGTGTATATTGGGTTAGCTTTTAAGTTTTTAAATTTGGGCTGCCCTTATAACATATATATAGGTTTTTTTAAATAAATAAAAACTTTGGATGGGCAGGCACCCACCCTGCCCTTTACACAGATCTGCCACTGTTTCCAACCCAAGCTCTGCAGACAAGATCCTCAGTTGCTGCACCTCATGCACCATAATTTGATCTAATGGAGTATCAGCAGGTGCACTTAAAGCTAATTGTTGTTTCACTTTTCTCCAACTCAGCTGCCATTTACTTCTAGAAATAGAAAATTAAAGTTATATTAGTGATAAGTCAAAAGTATGTATAATAAATTTGTGAATTAGTAAATTTATAAGACATTTAATAATTTATTTTACCCTCTGCCATTCACAAGGGATGTGGCAAGAGGAAAAAAAGGGGCAATGTGGGAGCAAAATAATTCACTACCGATCCGCCACATCACGGGATTGAATTTAGGCACAACCCAATACGGGTTCGTATGCGCATTAGCTTGGGTTCATATGTGCATTAGCCCAATGTGGGTTCATATATGCATTAGCCCGACGTGGGTTCGGATGTGCATTAACCCAATGCAAGTTCATATGTGCACCACCCAACATAGGTTTAGATGCGCATCCCTCAACGTGGGTTCACATGTGCACTATCCCATATGGGCTCATAGATGCGCATCCCTCAACGTGGGTTCACATGTGCACTATCCCATATGGGCTCATACACGAATAGCCCGACGTGGATTCATGGGTATATTCAAACACTCGCACTCCCATATCCATGTAGATTGCGGAACAAGACGAACATGGTTGAGGGTTGATCCCACATAACTTTCATTAACCGAAAAAGGGCGAAAGTGGGCATAAGACGTGTAAAGTGGAGCTTGCATCCTAAGGTTCTCATTAGGTATAAAGGTGAAGTTTCACAACCAGACGAAGGTATGTAGTTTTAAATTAACTCGTGCATTTAGATACATACAAAAATTGACTTAAGTATCGTAGTATCTTTGGCAGGTACCCCACCCTTTCTCATTTGATTTCGAAGGAGCGTCGGTTGGATATTTCACTTATCTTGCGTGCGAGGTAAAGTCGAGAACTTGTGAAAGATATTCTTATTGTAATAATTTTTGCTCGAACAGTTGGCGTTGTCTGTGGGAACTCTCTCAAAATCAATCAATGGCTAAATCTGCACAAGACGCTCTAACCCAATCCAATCCCAGATCCACATATGTGAGATCAAATTCCGAGGAAGGAGAACCCAGCCTCGCAGCCATCTAGTTTAAAAAGATATTGAAGGAGTTGTGTGAAACGAAGAAGATGGCGGCCAAAGCTTCGGAGAAGTTCAAGGGCAACCATATGTCACATCTAGATTGCCCTAAGGCCATCTCCAACCCAAGGACTTAAACCCAAAATATCCCCCAAAACCTCTCACAACCCAACAAAATGATGGACCCAAAATTTGGGAAAACCCAAATTTGGACCCAAATATCAGTCCATTTATTGCCTGGACCCAAATCTTTTTGTGGAGCCCACCTGCATCTCAAACCCACCCCCATGTGCAAAGATTCTGACGTGGGCCCCACCTCCAAATTTGCAGCTGCCTTATGTCTTCTCTTTGCGCCACTTGTTGCTATCCCATGGAGTTGTCGTTGGAATCCAACGGCAGCATTTGAATAATGTTGTTGTTTGTTTGTTTTTTTTTTTGTATGTACATATAACTTAAATCAACGATGGGAATTAAATCTATGCTATTTTAACGGTAAAAAAAAAAAGATCCAACGGCTGAAATTTAAATCCAACGGTCAAAATAATATTTTAAATTAATCTAGATCAGATCCAACCCTAAAACTCACTCCAAACTCTATAAATACCCATCCATTTCTCAAATAATCTACCAAAAACATTTTATCTATTTCTCAATGTATTTTTCCTTTGTTAATCTCATCAATCTCCTTTCATTCTCATATTTTTGATATCATTTCAAGCACATCATCTTCTTCATTCTCATACTTTTCATATCATTTGAAGCTTTCAATGGATAACCGTGGCAAGAATATCTTTTCCTTTATGTTTGATGATGATTCAGATGATGAAGAACATCATCACAGAGTGATAGAATCCATTGTCCACCATACTTCACTGGAGAATGAAGCCACCAAAAATGGTGGGTCGGTAGTTGGTCGTGAGTACAAGAACCGTGAGAGGGAAGATCGCCATCACAATCTCATGTCCGACTACTTCATTGAAAGGCCACATTTTAATACTACGGATTTTCGTAGGCGGTTCCAAATGCGGAAAGAGTTGTTTTACCGCATCTTGAATGATGTTGTCAACCACAAGCCATATTTTCGCCTGAAAAAAGACGAGCTCGGCCGACAAGGGCTATCCCCTGAGAAAAAGTTAACCGATGTCTTTCGTATGCTCGCATGGGGATGCTCAGTTGACGCGACCGACGAGTACCGTAGATTGGGTGAAAGCACAGCTCTTGAGTCACTCTATAAGTTTTGTTGCGCTATTGAAGCCGTGTATGGCCAATGGTACCTCAGGTCTCCAAATCCAGCTGACCTTTACAAGCTATTGCACAATGCAAGCAGTCGAGGCTTCCCAGGCATGTTAGGAAGTCTTGACTGCATGCACTGGGAATGGAAGAACTGCCCATCTTCTTGGGCAGACCAATTTACCGGTCACAAAAAAAAAAACCCACTGTTGTGCTAAAGGTCGTGGCCTCGTATGACACATGGATATGGCATGCCTTTTTTGGAACCGCTGGATCCAACAATGATATCAACATTTTAGCTCGTTCTCCATTGTTCAATGATGTGGTACATGGAGTGGCTCCTCATGTTGAATATATTGTTAATGGAAATCAATACCATTTGGGCTACTATTTGGCAGATGGGATCTACCCTCGTTGGGCTGCTTTGGTGAAGACCATATCTTCCCCTGATAACCCAAAGAAGAGGCCTTTTGCACAAATGCAAGAAGCGTACAGAAAGGATGTTGAAAGAGCATTTGGAATACTACAGGCTCGATGGGCTATTGTTCGGGGCCCTGCACGTATGTGGTGCAAGGATAACCTCCACTCAATCATGATGACGTGTATAATTTTGCACAACATGATTGTGGAGGATGAGTACGAATATGTTGAAGAGGAATCTGACGATGAGGATATGTGTCCACAACGATCCAGGAGGGCCAGAGCAAGACAATATGAGTTGGAGCCAAGCATTACATACGAGTACCACCAAGATAGGCAGACTCTATTTGAATACATGATTCATCATAATAGAGTTCGATCTCCACATATGCATCAGAGTCTCCGACATGATTTGATCAATCACCTTTGGAGGAGCTTTGGAGATGGTGAATGAGGTCAACAATTGTTTCAATCCTCCTTTTGTGTTTCAATTATCTTGTGTGTTTTTTTATTTTATGTTGTGTGTTTACTTTTGGAATAAAATTAAATTTATGGAATTTCATTTTTTTTTAAGGTCAAATTGTTCAAAAAAATTAAATTATGATGTTATTTAAAAAGATTAATGACGAAAAGTTTTCCATAAAAAAAAAAATTAGACTTAAACCATTCTTAAACAATTTAATAAAGTTACGGACTTAAAATTTGAGTCTGGAGGGTTGGGAGAAAAAACTATTTGAGTTCGGGCAAAACCCAAATAGTCACTTTTTGGAGGGGGGGAAATTTGGGTTTAGCCCCTCATGGGTTGGAGAAGGCCTAAGGGGAGCAAAAGGAAAGAGAGGATAGAATTATCTGATGAAAGTTCCACAAAAAGTATCCACTCCGATGATCAACACAATGACATTGAAGACCACTAGGACCAAAGGAGGGAATTGAAAAAGTCCAAAGACAGCGAGCTACGAAGGCAAATTGAAAGGATTGTGAAAGGATACAAACCGCAAACACCTACCGAATTGGTCGTTGAAGCTGCGAAGGGAATCTACAAATCACCCTTTACCAATGAGATCAATCTAAATAAGAAAGAAAAAAAGAAAATAATGAATAAGAATAATCCTAAATACTCTCTCAAGGAATGACAATTCGGCTCAAGTATCTCACAAGGGTAGTCTCCACTATTTCTCCACAATCATCCAAGTATAGCTACCTTGTCCATCAAAATACTTGAAGCATGGCTATGTGAAGTGCTATAATTATGACACATAAACTTTCATGGCAACACTTTAGTTAAAGAAATATAATCAAACATTACATATACATCACTATTAGTAAGAGAAAGTGAAAGCTTTAACAATTTTTTTTTTTTTATGTTTTTTTTTTTTTCAAAAGTTAGAGGAATTTTGTGATTTTGCAAACAAATATGCATGAATTTATGAGTCCCAATTTCTTACAAAAAAAGAAATTTCATCAAAAGGAAAAGGACACACCCGAAATATCTCCTAGAAATCTCTGATCGCGAATAGAATGGATCTAAATTGATGTGGAATGAAATAAAAACAATTCTGGAAAATTGACCTTTAGCGACGAAAAATCAGATGAACATCGTCACTGAAATGCTTTAGTGATGTAAAATCTGATGAACAGTCGCCTCTAAAACCTTTTCGTGACGAACAATCTTCAAATTTCTAGGCAAACAGTAGATGGGCTTTTTTGGGTTTTAGGCCACCTTTCAACTTCAAATCTTCCTAAAATGTCATGTAAACCACTTGAGACCACCAAACCTGATTTCAATCATCATAATTACCATTTTAAACATGTTAGTGGCTTCAAATTTACCTGAAAAACATCAAAAAAGAAATTATGCAAAAATTTGATTTTGACCAAAAAAGAACATAATAAGTTCTTTTCCTATTTTCTGGGTTTTAAAGTCATCTGATGATCAAAACAACTTCTGCAACACATCTGGAACATGTTGCAATCATTTTGGGGCTAGAAAAAGTTGAGAAATGTTCTTTGAAACACAAAATCCTTTCTTTGGAACACAAAATTTGTTTTTTTTTTAATTCTTTATGACTCAAAACTCAAATAATAATAAAAAAACAACAAAATTTCATACCCCCAAACCTGAACTAAGCATTGTCCTCAATGTTTAAAGTAGATGAATGTAACAATTAGTAAAGGCATAGAGGGATGGGAAAAAAAAGAAAAAAGAAAAGAAAAGAAAGGATAGGAACAAAGGTACCTAGTTGGGTTGCCTCCTAACAAGCGCTTAGTTTATAGTCCCTAGCCCGACTTTTGGAATGATGATCACCCAGGATGATGGAGAGCGAAGGTCTCCTTTTGTTTATTGAAATTTGTTTACAAGTATCTCTTCAAAGTGAGGGTTGGTGCGGCAATGGTCCTTAGGATGACCTTGGTTCCCAACGAGTTCATCATTTCGAGCACGCGTGGCTCCTCTCCTACCTCTAGCTGATGAACCAAACTTGCTTTTAGTGGATCTTTTGGGTAGTCTGCTATGAATTGTTGTCGAACAACATGATCTATTGCTTCTAAACGGAAACAATACTCCAAATCAATGGGGTACTTGGTTGCATCAAAAACTTTGAATTCCACCGCTTAATCGGCTTCTTATAGGATCAAAGAACCTGTTTCTATGTCAATTATCATTCTTCTTGTAATGAGCTAAAATAATTGGAGTGTCGACATCTTCTTCCATATCCAAAACTATGAAATCAGCTGAGAATATGAAGTGATCCACCTTCACTAGTACATCTTCAAGAATGCCGTGAGGATATGTAAGTGATCTATCTGCCATTTGCAAAGAAGTAGTAGTTTTCTTAATTTTCCCGAACCAATTCTTTTAGCTATAGATAAAGCATTAAATTAATACTAGAACCTAGATCACTGATCGGTGCATATTTACATATCATTTTGTACCCTTCTAGCTTATGATTTGGTTATGTTTTTTTGAGTTAAACTTGTGCTTTTAATCCTTTTTGTGTTTATCTTTCAGTTCATTGAGCTTTAGGTAATAAAGAGGGCTTTGGATAGTAAATGATGCAATCCATGCATGTTAGGGCCTAATTTGGATGAATGGATGAAGAGCTTAAAGACAAACTCAATTTTGGCTACAGTCCCCTGCCAGCCCAGTTTCGTAGGTCATATTGCAAGCTTTGTTTCAGCAACCTACATAGCTCGGATGAGGCCACATTCTTCATGAAAGTTGTTCCAATGGGTGTATACTATAACATATCCGAAATTCAGCCCCATTGGATAATTGTGGAGTCTGTTACCTAGCAAACACAGAGCCATGCTCAGGATGGATTTTATCAGCGCGCAAAATGAGTTAGCAATTTGTTTTGGCCTTAACTTCCTCCTCCGACCTTGGATTGGCCCAAATGATATATGGCTGGAAAGAAGACATTCTGAACTTCAAGTTTGAGTGCTTAAAATCTTAATTTGCTTAAGGGAAGCCCAATTCGTAACCCCTTGAAGTTGCTGGTCATGCTGACCTCAGCATGTGCTGGTTGGATGCTTGGTCATGGTGAGCTAGGTATGAGCTATCATTTCTGGTTGGAAGCTTGGTCATGGTGACATGAAGATGAGCTAGGGCTGCTGGTGGGATCTATTGGTGAAGTGCATCAACCAATTCAGATTTTATAATGCAAGTGTTGTATGCATTAGTGAAGTGCATAAACCATTTTAGATTTTATAAAACAAGTGTTGTATGCATTAGCCATAATTAATTCAGATTTTCAGCTTCCTTAGGCCTATATATAGTGAGGTTTCCCAAGCTTGTAAACACACCCCAAGGGGGGGAGCTCTCAAACACTTCTCTAGAGCTCCATTCCCTTCTCTCCCTCAAATTCTCTTA